AATCTAAATGAAAAATAAAACAGAAACAAAAATACTTTACATTAATTGAAATGAAACTCTGCCCACAGTTACCTCTGTCTTCACACCACCCCTCTGCCTGCCTTTCCGATTCTGACGGCCTTTTGTCAACAAATCAAGTTTTCTGAACTCTTCATCTTTGTTTAAAAAGAAAGATGAAATAAACATAATCAAAATATATACATATTTATAATAAATCACATAATATTAACATTTTACTACAATGAAAATATATTTCCAATAGATACTTATCTATCCTCACATAATAACATTTCCTGTCTTGTGCTTCCCTCTACATGCACAATTTTGCTTGCCACTAACTTTGATGCTCCCACCTATCCTCTTGTGTTTACACATGGTATAGTTGTGCTGTAGCATACAAGAACCCCTTCACAAACAGAAGTTCAACACACCCTCCTAGCACAGCTGATTCCCTCTGTACTGTAGAATACTTTCATAAGTTCAAGATTAGTCAAAAGGATGCACCAAGAGTTGGGAGGATGGATAGGAAGTGTGAGAGGAGGTAAATAAATATCTGTCGAAAATACATTTTTCCATGTAGGATAATGTTAACTTCTGATACAATACCTTACCTCTTTTTCTATAATATCTAGAATCCCACAGGTGTGGGGACCAATGCAAAAGTCACCTAGATGAGCACTCTTTGGAAAGTACCCAAAGAGAACCCATGGAGTGTGATACCCCAATGTATAGGGTCACACCCATGGGAGACTGCACCCCATCTGTATCAGGTATACTCTTTGCCCATTTTAAAGAGGGTAGGTGGAAGCATCAAGGTTTGTGGTGAGCAAGAATTGCAGATATAGAGAGCAGCACAGGTTAAGAAAAACTACTATGTGAGTGGAGGTAAAGTATTGGAATAATATGTAGAAAACCACATATGAATGAAGGGATAGCTAAACATCTTACTTATTAACTGGTTTCTTTTTTCATTTTGGGATGTGATCTCAAGAGATCTTCCATTTCTATATCACAAGTATCTTGATCCCTTAACTCAACATACATGTCTTAGATCAACTTAAGTAGGCAGTACAGTAACTGCCATTTAGCCCACTCAACCAAAGCACTTACATGAATATGCATAGAAGTAGGGTTTCCAAGTAGGGGAATGTGACAATTTGAAAGCTAGAGTAGTGCATGTTTCAATTTCCTATAGCTTAAAGTATAGATTTACAATTTTATAACTTTTGAATGAATAGAAGTGATCCCTGAGGCACTTCACTAATAATATGGGTATATTTTGTCCATTAATGATCTTTTGCTTTTACCTCTTCAGTCATCCAAAAATCCTATTAATTAGTCCTTCCCCAACCAACCTTTTGTGTGACACCTTACGAAAAACATTTTGAAAATCTATGCACACCAAGTACACATCTTTTCCATCATCCAGATAGCAAGTAACATCCTTGAAATGAGATATTAATAAGGTATGTTTTACTTTTGATGAATCTATGTGAGCTTTCTTTGAATGTCATATTTCACTTAAACTTACGAGTAGTGTGGATACTCAAGTCTCTATCCTAATGTTTGTGAGGTAGTAATTTCTATATTATTCTTAATTATGGTAGATATCTGTTTACAATTTATATAATTTTCTATCTTCTAGTTCAGCTTTATTTTTGTTAAAAATACTAGCTTCACCAGCCTACTAGTGTATATTAAATATTTTCATATAAAAAAAAGTGGCATGAGGTTCTCCTGGTGGTGGTTGTAGGGATACTAAGTTCATGTGTGATTATGTAAAACAATCGTTAAGTTGTTAGTCATGTGATATGTAATGAGATGGTCTGGCAAATAAATAAATAATAAGGAACTCATTACTGCAATATATTGTAACTAGCAGAGACCCACAAAACATTTCCAGCCAAATTAGTATCTTTATCATAACAGTACTTCCTTAAATATAACATTTCTAGCACAATACAAATGAATTGTAATTGCAGACAATGAAATCTGTAAATCCACTGGTATATAGGCTGTACTTAATAAAACTTTAACTTATGTTAGGCCTAAGTACGATAAAGATATAAATTAACACTGTAACCTGTGTACTTTTTTTTTACTTTAGTTTAGTTATGACTAAACTTTACTGTACTTAATACTATTGATAAATAAACTTATAATGTTATTCTACGACCTAAGGTTAAACCTTTTTAAAAACTTTGATAAATTTTTAATATTCTGTTCTACAAAATGGTTAGTAAAGTATATTTACATTCTCCTTTTGTTGTTACTTCTTGTTTGATACAGCAATTGTAGTGACTTAATCAATGAGCATGGCAGCTCTCTGCTACAGGCAGACTGTTTGTTGTCGAGTGAATAATGCGTGTGCGTGGTTTTTCTTGGGGAAACATTCTAACTACACATGCTTATGCAGCAGGTTCTTGATCAGAAAGTGTAACGGTCATACATACAAACAAGCAGAATAATAATATTGATTCTGAGATATGTCTTTTTTTTGAGTCTTACAAATTAAGGTTTTTATTCTTTGAGTTCTTTTTTTTTCTAATTCATTATTATTATTGTTTGGTATGGTTTAATATTAAAACATTGCATCTTAAACACTTGTGTTTGAGATTTTTAGTTGCAAAGTTCCTGGCCAGGCACTAGTTATCAATTATTAATACTGATTTGAAGAACTTGCATCTTTAATGAATCTGAAATTTATCTTACTTTGGTAGTAACATGGTAATTTGATATGTTGAATGATATATTTTACTGATTCCCTATAGCATTCACTTATTCCCTCCATAATTTAAAAAATATGTAAACACTTTACGATAAAGGTCCATCTTTTCGTATGTGCTCGGGTTATACGGTTTTTATCATTTTGTAATAACTCTTCATACTTGTTTGTATGTGAATGGCTAGGGTATATTTTCATGTTGGAACATTTGTTAAATTAATTTTATTCTAAAAAACAGCTTCGTAAAGTTGCTAGTATAAGGTGGTGAATATACAACAATGATAGTCATAGAGCTACTATTCATAAGAATATTTACACAGTGAATGAATATGCTTGCTTGTGTGTTTAGAAGTATTCATATTTCACAGCACGTAGCAGAGTTTGGTCAAGAATTAGTTTTCAAGATACTATGGTTAGGCATTTAAATCTTAGATTGACAACTTATTTTTGAATCTTGACTAATATTTTCTTTCTATTTCCATGAGTAACAGTACATAAATATGAATTGTTGTCAACCTTTTATTTATTATGTAAAGAACTGTGACTGTCAGTGATAATCACACTATATTTTCTGTCAAATAGGTTAGGTTGTTTTCATTTGCTTATGTTAGCTTAGGCATAACATAATGTTCTGAGACAACATGGGACTTGTTGGTCCACCTCGGCTGTTCCTTCCTCTAAACTGAAACTATTAATAATCAAATTAAAAAAAATATCTTAAAGCCAGCCTTTATCATTCATATATTTATCAAGCTTTCTCTTAAACTCACTTAAATTTACTGCCTCCACAAGATCCAAAGACAACTCATTCGAACCTTGTTAGAAAAAATAAAACTGTCTTAGCTGAAGATGACTACTACCTTGCCAAAATTTATATCTCCTAGTCCTACTATTCTCAGTGTTAAGTAGGAAAAAGATGATGCGTCAACACTATCAATTCCATTTACAATCTCATACACCTCAATCATATCCCCCCTAACTCTTCTTTTTCAAGAGAAAACAATTTGAGAGATTTCAACCTCTCCTCATATAACAAACCCTCCATCCCAGGCATCATTCCAGTAACCCTTCTCTGAACCCTTTCCAACAATTCAATGTCTTTCTTAAAGTAAGGAGCCCAAGACTGAACACAATATTCCAAATGTGGCCTAACCAGTTGCCTGTACAATGAAATTATAACCTCCTTAAACTTGTATTCAATATTTATGTAGATACAACCTAAAATCCTATTTGCCATACCACTAACAATAGCACATTGCTTGGATGGCTTTAGATACTGATCAACTAATTACACCACGATTCCTTTCTTTCAAATTATAATTATAATATAAATCATGATAACTCACATGCATTATCTTGCAATTATTATAATTAAAACCCATTTGCCATTTATTTGCTCAATTCACTAAATAATCTAAATACTTTTGTAAATCAGCAGCATCCTCTTCACAGCTAGCAACACCCAAGACCTTAATATCATCAGCAAATTTAAGTAATTTATTGACCATTCTTTCAACTATGTCATTGATGTAAATAAAAAAAGAGCAAAGACTGAGCCCTGAGGTACACCACTTGTAACATTAATCCAGTAATGATAGTATTTTGGTCACTTGTGTATAAAGTTAAAATCATAAATAATATTCAACA